ACCAGTCATTCCCAGTTGTCTGCTGTTAGGGTCAATTTGCATATACTCCTTTATTATATAGGATAGAGGCCTGGTGCAAGGGTGGGGGCCGGCTGGTTTGCCCTGAAGAGTGTCCCAGATCAGGGTGGGGGTCCCGCTGGGGTGCCTGGTCAGCCTGGGTGAGGGGCTGAGGGCCGTTTTCAGGCTGGCCACAGCCCCTTCAGGGTGGGGGGCCATATTGGGGTGCCTGGCCAGCCTAGGTGAGGGGCTGATGGATGTTTGCAGGCAGGCCTCAGCCCAGAGCCACCCAAGCTCCCAGTGGAGGCTGGCTGGAAGCAGGTATCTGGGATTTATTTATCTTCTGTAATTGAAACTTTGTTGCCTTGAGCAGAGGTCTCAGCCGGCCAGGGCAGGCGGGAAGCTTGGCTTCCTCCATTGCTGGGACAACCAAGCCTCCTACTTGCTCCAGCTCTGTGGCTGCCGGCCGCCATCTTGGTTGGGTTAATTTGCATATAGTTGCTCTGATTGGCTGGTGGGCGTGGCTTGGAGTGTAGCAGAGGTGCGGTCAATTTGATGTTTCTCTTTTATTATATTAGACTAGAGGCCCGTTGCAGGAAGATTCCTGCAAGAATAGGCCTTCGCTCCCGTCTCTGCCGTTCCTACCCCGCCCTTCTCTGCCAATCCTACCCTGCCCTTCTCTGCTGCTTCTCTCCCACCCATCTCTGCCACTTCTCTCCCACCCGTCTCCACTACCTCGGCTCCGTTGCTTGGCTTCCTTCTACAGTGTCTTCAGTCTTCGCTCCCAGCTGGTATATGCAAATTAGCCACCATTTTTGTTGGTGGTTAATTTGCATATCGCTCTGATTAGCCAATGGTGGGCATAGCGAAGGTATGGTCAATTTGCATCTTTGTCTATTATTAGCTAGGATTACCTAAAGTTTTATATATGTCTTCTTTTTCCCCAATTGACCCCCCCATCCATTCCCACTCTGGGTAAGCCCCCACCACCCCAGTGCCTATGTCCATTGGTTATGCTAATAAGCATGCATACAAGTACTTTGGTGGATCTCATCCCCTATCATCCCCTACCATTTATCTCTGGATCTATTATTGTTCATCAAATTATGTTGATCATTATTTCCCACATCTGAGTGAGATTGTGTGATATTTATCTT